TAATACCTAGTATTTTCCGTACAAATAGTAAGCGCTCCTAGGCTTATTATTGTCCTGAAATCTGCTGGTGACTTGTATAGTGTTGAGCTGACGCCGTGAGTGCTTCATTTTTTGTAATGAAATTTCCCTCGATAATTAGAAAAATCAAGACTAGGTAATAGAAAAATTGATTAATAAAACTAGAGAACTTGACAGAAGTTTATATGTTTTTAGATAAAAAGTATCTTGTCAATGGCAAAATGTTTGAAGCAGAAGATTTTGATGAACCCATCCCAGTTGATGGACAAACTCAAGGCACTGAAAGAGATGAAATGAACGAACCCGCTGAAGATGCAGCACCTTATGGTATTCTTTTAAAAGTTCTTCTTTAGCTTTTGTAAACAGTTGCGCTTATTTTTTCATCAAAAATTGAGAAGGGCAAAGCATATTCCGTGAACAGGCATACCGTATTCCTAGTAGATAAGTTGGCTGAATACTGAAGGACCACGATTACTTAATGTCAGTTTCATTTAGAAACTCGATCTATAGCAACCAGGAAACTCGTAACCAGATAGCGCCCGATATCTCGGATTACTTCCCCCCTGAAAACACTAACAATCGCAATAAACAATTAACAACTATTGCTTAAAGCTCTGTACCTTGAAGCGACCTTCCCTACGTTTCTTAGGTTTGCAGGAGAACCTTACTCCATAGCTCAACTCTTTGAAGACTCTTTTCAGCCATAAGATGCATATGGTTCAAAAGGAAAAGCAAACCACCCACTATATCTGAAATGTGACATAAAATCAACAACATTGCGAGTTACCAATTGAAAATATAATAATGAGAAACAGTCCAGTCTTGGACCGCCATGTTTTGACGTAATGCGCCAGTTGCCCCGCTAACCAAAAAGCCAGAAGACCCTGGGAACGAGATTGGTTATGCAAATGATCAGCAACATATCTTCTGCCAAGAACCTTGATAATCACTTTGCAAGTCGTGAGAACATCGTTCGGTGTCATTTAAGAAAATATATGGGAAGTAGCTCCCCAACCCCTGCTTTGCGCCTAGGGAATGCTTGTTGCCAAAGGATTATTATAGGTACAAAGAATATCTAGTTAAAATGTAAAACAAATTCCACAAGATTTCTAGTATACTAGAGCTACCTACTTATTTCTAGGATGGACAAAGCATCCATTCAGCTGGTGTACAATTAGAGGGCGTCAGTTTTTGAGTGGACAAAAAGGTGTGGTGCAAAACTTCGCGCAGTGCGCTGAGCAATGTGAACAAACCCCGGGTTGCAAGGCGATTGAATTGTGGCATAATTACAACTGGAACTGTTACTGGTGCAAGAGAATAGATTTGATCGAACCTTACACCAATACACGTGATCTCGCCTACCCTGCACATGTGTGGGTACAAAGTAAGTGACGTATTTCTTTATTATTATTATTATCATTTTTTTTTAATAACAAAAGGAAAAATCTTCATTAACATATGACCAATTTGCATTCCACTGTAATAGACTAAAATTTTGATGAAATAAAAATACTAAAAGATCCTAAAACACTAATTTACAAGCTCATGCCATTATCGACACACGATTGGCTAGCTTTTAAGCGGCAGTCATGATATGACCAATTTACATTCCCCTATCACAGGCCAAGAGAGAATGAGATCATTCTCTCTTGCATAGACTAAAATTTTGATGAATTAAAAATATTACTAGTAGTAGTTGACACTACAACTGCCCCCGCTCTGTATATAGTATTCTTCCTCCTTGTGTAGCTCTTTGAAATATACCGATTCATAATGAAGAAGTTCACACATATTCCATAAGGTGAGATAAATACAGGAAATATACGCAAGGTTCCATGCACAGTTTCGGTTCGATTTACACAGCTTTGATCAAAACATTCTCAGTCTCGAGAATAGTTTATTCTAAACCATAAGAAAAGATTTAATTAGAAGTTTAATTTTTCGCTATTTCTATTTCACTTTTTACAATTAGTTCATTTCAGTTGCCGGAAAGTAAACCTTAGAAATTAAAAGGACGTTTGATCAATTCACGCTCGCGCATTCTAGTCTTATTTTAAACTTTATAGCGGAAGGACATCTGTGAGCAGGGAATACGTCAGCACAGAATTTGATGGTCGGCGAATTTCTATAATCGTCCATCGTTCTCTGTTAGTGATAAGCAAGGCGTTGAATCATTCACTCGTCTTGCTTGTTTTGGGACGAGTCTTACTCCGGTCAAAGAGAGAGAAAGAGTGTCTGACAAGGTTCAACTGAAGGTTTCCAATCAAAGATTTGTCAACTCGTGTCTAGCAAACTTACTTAGTGTTAAAATATACACTGTTCTACGCACCTTATAACTTCATCTGCGCTTAACGAGTGTCGTTTGGTCCATAACTTTCATAACAACTGCTCCACAGAAAGTCACTGATAACAGGTAACGCAAAAGAGTATCGAAATATGACTGCACAATTAATGTCACAAAATCTACCTATTGTAAGCGGTCCCTTCGGGATTTTTTGTGTTTCATGTCATCCTAACCATTTCGTACTTGTGGGCGCAAACAATAGAAACGTCATCATTACCTACCGATTCCTCGCGGCCCCTGTTCATGCAAATCGAGATTTTTTCTAAATTGACTGTATGTCTGTATATTTCAACTGTAAGTACTTTCCTTAATATACGCGCGAGTTACTAGAGTGCCTCCTCGGGGTTTCGCCTTCTGGGCGAATCTCTGCGGCGCAAAAAAGACTCTAAAATACTAATTTACAAGCTCACGCCATTATCACTTTCTAAAATTAGCGGACTCACGCTTGGCTAACATTTAAGCGACAGTCATCAATGAAATCCCCTTGTGGAATTTTGTGGAAGGGTGTCCTAGAACCTCTTACGCATGTGTGTACCGACCTTAAAATCTCAAAAGAAAGCAATGTTCTAATCCAAGTAATAGTAATGTGATAAGGTTCCTCATTCTTTTCTGAGAGCTTCTCGGCTAGGCGTTTGAGAGAGCAGTCGCAGTCGGCTCCCTTCCCACCGTTGGTTCCAAAAACTAGGGGAGTGAAAGATCCCATTTCCACTTCCAGCACCCTCTCTTGGTACTTCCGCTTTTTCTCCTCCTCCAGCTCCTTAAAGATTGTGGATGTTGCTTTTCCCTGGTTACGCTTGGAGTTAACATGTGTTACTCTGACATCAAAAAATGCTGTAATTCCACGAGACCAAAAGCTTATTATTATTATCATTATTATTATTATTATTATTATTATTATTATCAAGATTGTATTTGTTATTACTATTATTATTATTATTATTTTCAATTTGAGAAGAGTTCAATAAAGTATGGGTTTTTTTTTGTAAAAAAAATTAGTATGTGTAATCAAATGGTGACGAGTGAAATTAGGGAATAATTTCACGCGCGTTTTGTCTAAATCCTTATAATTTCCCGAACCTTTAGGCGAGGGAAATTATTAGGATGTGGACAAAACGCAAGGGAAATTATTCCCTAATTTCACGAGTATACCATTTGATTACCTATTAATATCATGGGTGACGAATTACGTTAGCAATCTTGGATTTTTGACATGTTTATCCTGGATCATATCGATCGAGAACTCTACTCTCTCAAATGTTTAGACCTTAAATTTGGCTTGTAAAGATCAGAATTTTTCAGACTTTTCGGCAAAATACCTGTTAGAGTCCTTCTTGATGTTGTCTTGTGTGTTCAGGTTTTCTAAAGCGTCTTTTTGTGCCCTGACATCTTGATTCACGGCATTTTAAAACTTCGTCGCCATCTTGACACTGAGACGTACGGAAGGTTGCCATGGCAATTTTGTAATTTCACATGTGAAATTACAAATTATCGCTGAAATTTCGCGCCAAAATTAAGGAGTAATTCGTCACCTATGATATCATTATTACTATCATTATAAGTTTATTTGTAATCCACTACTTTTAATCTTTTCATAAACCTCGTGGAGTTTTCTATTCCGGCATTTCAAATTTTCAAGCTCCGTAGATCGAATTGATTGTAATCGGAAAGGTATTATTAGAGGTTGTAATCATCCGTTGTGAACTTTTAAATTGTTTGACAGTTTGATTTGTTTATGACTATGATTATTGTTTATTGTAGACTCTGAACCCACAACTGGTCCAGGTAAGATTTGTTAAACTAATTGGTCCCTAGGAATCGCTTATTACTGTATTTTGAATGTGCTTATAATCTAATACTTCTAATCGCGCTTGATCCTCTAATAAGTACGTAAGAAAAAGTATTGTTTGGATAATTATAAGGACCCGTGTGTTTTTTATATTTTTTTAGTTTCTGTATACACGACATATCTAGCGGAAAGTAAATGCTACTGAATTTGGCATCTTTTCTGTCCTGGAAAACTATTATTCCCTTGATCATTTCAGCTAAGTAGTTTAGATGGATAGAACTGCCATAATTGTTTTTTTCTGGGTCTGTTTTAGTAACCGAACCGACTACAATCCCATCTCCTCCGGGTAAGTTTTTCATAGTTATTTTATTTCTTACCTTATCTTACCTTACCTTACCTTCATATATGTAAAACAACAGTCATATATAAATCACTTCAATTCATAGTAATCTTAAACTATGGTCTAATTTCTGCAGAAGTCAATGTCACTTGTGATCAGAACGAGATGTCGATCAGCATACCAAAATATCTTCTTCACGGATTGGACAGAGAGCATCTCCGGCTTAGTGACGTGAGCTGCGAAGCCATGGAAACCAGAACTCACTTCATTCTTCGCACAAAGCTCACTGGATGCCACACAGTTATCAGACACACCCAGAATTTCGTCAGCTACATGAACAAGGTGGAGGAGATTCCCATCAAGCCAGGCCAGATCATCACACGAGTTCGGGAAGTGGAAATCCCTTTCGCTTGTTACTACTCAAACACAGGAGTGGTATCCGCCGTTGGCCTTGAAGTCAAGAGCAAGAAAATCATTTTCTCCAAGAAGGATATGGAAAATTCGTGTTGGATATGAATATTTACCCAACTCCTAGCTTTAGTCTTGAGTACAAGAAAAAAGATTTCCCAATAGTCGTGCCTCTAAGGAAATTGCTGTACGTGAAAGTCAGTGTTGATTCAGATGACCGCAGGCTGGATATCTTGGCAGTAGATTGCTGGGCCACACCAAACGCTAATCCCTTAAGTCCTGGATTAAGATACGAATTTATCAAAGACGGGTAAACAGTTCAGTTTATTTTGTACTTTAATTTATTAAGAAAATTTAAATGCTAAAGATATGTTGGTAATGGAAATTACACTTAACTCATCCAGATAGTTTACAGTCACTCCACTCAAATAATTCCAAATAAAGCATAAGAGGATTAGAAACCCCAACTGGTAGGAGTAACCTCCTCCAGTTGGCTATTAACTAGCGTGGCCGTAGATTTTTTCTCGGAACAACCGTGAACAAATCCAGCTAGCTAGGGCGATTGCAAGTCCGCCGCTCAAACCACTCGGTCACGCTTTCTCCCTACTTCGCAAAGACCACTTGCCAACACCAGCATTAGGTTTCCATTTTACAGATGAAAGTTCATCTTGTCTTTATGTCTTTCTCCTTCAGATGCCCAGTTGATGATACTGTGATGGACATTCCAACAGCAGACAAGCGTATGCAAAAATTCAAACTTGAAGCCTTCAGCTTTATTGGTGACCATCAGTTCGTGTACATGCATTGCAAGGTCTTGATCTGTAACGCATCAGATCCCAACTCACGTTGTGCGCAGGGCTGCGTTAATCGAGCAAAGAGGTCCCTGATGACTCAAGGATCCAGAAACGAGGAGGTACACTTGTCTCAGGGACCATTCATGCGTGGAGATGATGAAAAAGATAAAGAAGAAACTAAACTGGAGGAAACGGAGAAAGACATGCGAGATGTGGAAAACAGTGGTAAGTTTAACACTGACCTTATCATTGGTGGTTTATACCATGTGGTTTGGTTTATTGTTTGTCTAACAGTTATTTAACAATTAATGAATGAGGCTGAGTATCTTATGAAGAATTATGGAGATCGAGGAGAGTGTTATCCGTCGAAGCCGTAGGCCGAGGCGGATAACACCCTCCGAGATCTCAATAATTCTTCATATGATACGAAAGCCGAATTCAATAATTGTTTTATTATTGATTCAAAATAATTCATAATTTAAAAACAAAGCTAAAACATGCTTACCTCCATCAGGAGCCGATTACCTCTATCGATGTTAAGAGCACCTTCGATAGTACACGTTTAGGGTTATTCAGCTCCGCAAATGTTCTCCAAATAGCAGATGTCGCCCTTCGAGTTGTGTTCTTGCTGTTCTTGCCATGTTTTTAGCTATAATTTCGCCTAGTTCTTACTCTTGAAACGAGTGAAATGTCCGCCATTTTTTGTTTTCACAACCAAAACAACTCAAACTCGTCCCCAGGTCTTCTCGGTTAACGGTGCCTTAACCTGCGAGAACGCTGCATTTTTGACGTCATTTCCTCGTTAAACACAATTTTTTTCCAAATTTGGTCATCAGTAATTGCGGTTATGGTGAATTATGCGTGTGCTTTTAGCCAATCAGAATCGGGGAAATATTTTGAATGAATAATAAAGTCATTTATTATTGGCGTCGACGTTTCTACAGTTGTGGCGACTGGCAGCAGATGAGTAGCATAAACAGCCCCGGCCCTCCTGTTTATAACTATCTCAAATAAGAACCAGCAATACGTGGGAGATACGTAACTATCGCCGAAGTAATTGGTTGGTAGTCCGGCCCAGTTTTTAACTCAATATCCCGATGAGTCTACAGCACTGAGCATACTCTCTGGGCTGAGTTTCCCAAATTAAAAGGGGACTGTCACAGATTTAAAAAATCGACTGTAAATCTCTCCTCCATAAAAAAAAATGAATTTACAATATTGTATTTTGCAGGTATGTTTCCCACCCTGGTCGCTGCCATGGCTGTGGTAGCTGCCGTTTGCGTCATGGGTGTGTCTTATTTCGCCTGGAACAGTAGGAAGCGAAGGGCTGTGCGTGATTACCAACTACTCACTGTTGCTGCTGAAGACTGAAACTCCGGCCTGCGATCGAATAAACTTACCTAGTAACTGATCCGTTTAGGCATTTCCGGTTGTTGTTATGTGTGATAAAAAAGGTTATTTTTCATAAACTGGCAAAAAATATATCATCTTAACTCACATGTTTCTGCTAATCCTCGTTCACAGCTGGTGTTTTAAAGCCGTTCTGTAAGTTCACATAAACTGTTTAGTTGATAAATACACAGTAGAAGTTTATGCATCATTTCCGATCTTTCGTTGGCATAAGGGACTCTAAAAACTTTCATCTGGCTCAAAGAAAACCATCAACTCTTGTAGTTGACTATTCTTTTCTCTCTTCTCTTTTTTTCTTTTTTTTGAAAGTAGTGAGTTTACGCAACCGGACGGCTGCAAGAAGAGTACGGCAAAACGTTTGTGTGTGACAAACGTGACCGGGCTATCACGTGCGTGTTTTGTCGTGATCTTGACTTACCACTAATGTTTTCTGGCCTTTTACAAAAAGATATTCCTAATAAAGAAAAGTGAAGTTTGGGGAAAATGTATTTCAAACAAAATTGTCACGCTTGTCACACCAGGGTTTGCCGTCTTCTTTCCTCTCTTGTCCTTTTGCGTAAGTTCACTAATACCTCAGCCAATTGCAGGGGAGTAGCCAGGATTTTTGTTTCCAGCCGAGTACGCATAACTTTCCACATCCTGCTTCTCTTTCGCTTCAAAATCTCAAATCTTTTTTTAAGGTGCCTTGATTGCGTTTTTACTGTATATGAAGTGGCAAGTGACTTTGTCGCCTTATTGGGTTCGTTTACTTAAACAAGTCAACCGCTTAGTAATAAATAAAGCTAAAACATGAGATACAACTGTGCTAGCATCTCCGACTTTTGTTTACAAATGCCTATTTTTAATGCTTTTTGCCACATTAGTTTTGACCGACAAAAGCACCTTACATTGACAAAATTTTCCAGCTACATTCTCTACTTCGTCTACCGCGGAGACAGGCCGAGGGGCTGAAACAACGCTTGCTATCTGCGCGATATTTCCTCACCATGATGTCAGTCAAGGTTGGGTCCGTGGACCGATGAATCTCGTAGCTCCTGAAAAACCAGACATTTGGGAATGAAAAAGCAATATTTTTTAAACTAAGCAACAAGCAGAGTTAAATGAATTGAGTGAAACTGTGCGGTTTTATCTTTTGTTCATTTGTCTTCTTAATTGCTCAGATTACTGACTTTATTGTATCATTTTTTTTAACTTTTTTTTTTACCATTTTCGCACGTGCGTACTGGCCGTGCGTACAGGTCGCTACGGTCCCAGCTAAACTACCTTATTCTCGAGTAAGGAGTCAACAAGAGTTATCGATTTCTTAAAGCAGAAAAAACCCCAGTGTGGAGGGTCCGAGAAAAAGTTTGAAGTAGCTGTAATAACTAATTGTAGTTAGTAGTTATGGGAAAAATATGAAAGCCTTTTGAGCCGCTTCTTCATCACGATTATTGAGTATCTGGATTGGGTATAGCCTCCCACGCAGCCGTTTTTAGGGGAGCTCGTCTTTCATCCCTCCCACAAACGCCTGCTCAACCGCGAACAACACGAATTCCTTTCCTAAACTTAGCCAATCACATTGTCATTTCCAAATTCTGGAAAGTTGACCTTGACCGCAGGTTAACCCGATAATTACTTGATCTGCATGAAACACTGGGAAAGATTTAGTCAGATTTTAGAATACTCCGTGCGCTGCAGAACTTTAGCCGAGGAAAGAAAAGAAGGAAAACGGTAACTGTAGGATCACGTTTAACACTACCGCGAGTTCAGTTATGAGTTGTGTTTAGCCTGTCAACATTTAATTTCAAAAGTGTTGATTGGTCACTTACCACGCGAATAAAACAATGGTAAAGGAATTTTGTTTTCGATTGAGCAGGCGTTTGTGGGGAGGGTCGAAATACAAGCTCCCCCAAAAACGCCCGCGTGGGAGGTTATACCTAATCCAGATACTCACTAATCGTGATGATGAAGATGCTCAAAAGGCTTTCATATTTTTCCCATCAAGATTTATTCTTAAAACAAACCCGCTGAAAACGAGCAAAAGGTAATACTCATCAGCTTCCGATCCATTAATACAGGCCGATACCGTGTATTCCTTATAATATATAGTTCCTCAACAAACTGCTACAGATTAAAGAGCACAGTATAATGGGAGGGCCAAACCCCCCGGGGGGGGGGGTACTGCGATATATGGGCTATATAGGTAACACTCCCGCAATCATGAACTATATACGACAGAGACTCTTAGACCTATAACAGCAAACATGGATTAGCGAAATACACAATGATGAACGAAAGGACCCGCATCAAAAAAACAAACTAAGAACTTTTAGGAAATTTAAACTTACCCATGACTACGAAAATTACCTCACAAATGTAAGAAACATCAATCATAGAGTAGCAATCACAAAGCTAAGATTAAGCAACCACAAACTAGCAATTGAAACTGGACGATACGTTAAACCCTATCAACCACCAGACCAAAGAATCTGTCCATTATGTAAAACTGGATTAGAAGACGAGGAGCATTTTTTGATGAATTGCATAGCCTATAGGGATCCTAGGAGAGAGCTGTTCAATACGCTAAAAAAGGAAACTAATCTTATTCTTGACTCTATGACTCCAAGCTCTGCCTTTACAACGTTGATAAGTATGAAGCAAGGAGAGAAAACGCAAAAGATTGTGGCTAAATACGTATATGATCGCTTCCGTGAAAGAGATAGACGCGTTAAATATAACCTTGTTTAATAGTTGTACAAATTTTACAAATGTACACGTCTGTAATTATTGCACGAAAATCTTTGTTATCATTGTAAACACATGTGTTTGTAGGCGCTCTGTTGATAATAAAGCACTTATCCTATCCTATCCTATGTGCCGCTGTGAAGGGTATGGTTTTCAAGCAGTTTACTCTAGGATAGGGTATATAAATGGGATCGTTTGGGTCTAGAATAGGGTATCATTTTTCAGGAAACTGATAAATTGGTTGAAGATTTTATCTAGACTAGGTAAACAGCTACTCTAGGATAGGGGGATTTGGGGAGTTTACTCTAGTATAGGGTAGCAAAATTCAGCTGAACTAGCTCTGGTAAAGGTTAAGGGTTCCAGGTTCCCAGCGGCACATCCCCACCCTGAAATTCCTAAGGTGCCCCCGGGGCCAAACCACAGAATCAAAAGTGTTAAGTCCATCATTGACTCAGTATTACATGGAAATCTTTGACTTTTCAGTGTGCCTCACCAGGGAGAAACTGTGATGTTTGGTTGTTTAATTAATTCATTTCGCATCAAGGTAAGATTTATTAATTTTTCTCGGTTAGGTTGATCATACCTCCATTACAATATGACGGTATTTCCATGTGACATGAGTTGGGCAATGATTGCTCAAAATCTTTTTAAGTGCATCGACAATAATGACCAAGTCATGAAATTTGTTTTGTTTCCGAACAAAGCCATAGGAGAAAAATGGGGGTGCAACAAAAGAAAATGTTTTTTCCGCTTTGGTTTAATTTACATTTGTTTTTAAAAATCAGTATGCTTCGACCAAATGCACCATTCTTAACCAGTGGTGTGGAGAGATTAAGTTATTTGAAGTCATGAAGACAGTTCTGTTGCTTATATCCTGCCTCTTTTCTCATTCGAGTACCGTAAGAGCTGCAAGATTCAACGATGAAGGTGAAGTACCTTTTATAATTTGATTGTTTTTCGTCGTGAGAAAAAGGGCTCAATTTCGTGGTTTTAAACTTAAGTGTTTTTAAAAGGATATTAGAAAGGGAATGAAACTCTTTACTTAACTTCTAAGGAACAGTTCCGTTCTGTTCATGTAAATTTGAGTATCGGAATTTATGGTAGAATGAACTGAAGAATTTGTCAA